ATCTAAAATATTTTCTTTCTCATCAAGCTAGAAAAATATTTCTGAATGCTCAATTTAAATCATCTTTAGCACAATTGAATGATGATGGTATTTTACTTATAGCAAACTATAAGATGCGTGCATTACCTAAGACAGCACATGAAACTAAAGAACAATTCTTTGGAAAAAGTGGATGGACTCTATATACTATTTTAATTTTTACAAAAAAAAAAATAAAATTTGTCTAGATGTCAATGCATATGATCATTAGTCCACTGATACTAAACAAGATGCTTGGTTTACAGCATTTTGTTTTGAAGCTATTTTTGGATTAATAGAAAAAAAACCAAAATGGATACGTATTATCTCAGATAATGGTCCTCATTATTATAACTCTGAATTAATGTTAATTATTGCTCATTGGTATAATTGGTATTAAATACATATATGTAGTTGTTATTTTTAGAACCAGGTGAAGTTAAAACTACAATTGATAGTCATCACGCTTTGGTAAGTTTTATAAATTTTATCAATTTTGTTATTGTTTATATAAAATATTTTTATCAATTTATAATTTTTATTAGATCACACATGCTATAAAATATTATATTCGAATTGGATATGATATAAAAGAAGGTCAAGATATAGTAGAAGCAAGAAAGAATATTGCTGGAGCACATTTTGCAAATATTAAACCAAATAGAATTGAACAAGAAATAAATAATAATTCAGGAAAAAAAAAACCTAAGGTCAAAATGATATCAGAAATTTCTAAATATTTTTATTGGGAATGGCCAATTGATACACCATTAGAAAGTTATATTCAAGCTCGTTCACTTTCTCATATTGGTTCATAGATACAATTTTCACCTGCTATAATTTCTAAATTATGTAATAATCCTATTGAACGACCACAACCTACAGTTTCAATAAATACTCATGCTTTTCAAAAGTGGACAATGCCTATTCCTCAATTAAATGATATTTATAAAGTTATTTTTATTCATATTTTTATATTATACTTTATTTTTTATACTCATATTATTTATAAATATTAGTTGATATCAATATAGAAGGTGAATAAAATAAATATTTCTAATTGGATTGATTTTTTAAAAGTTAGTTTATTTATTAATTCGAAACTCTAATATTATTATTATTTACATAAAAAAATAAAAAATATTTTTTAATTATTGTTCTTTATTCAGATGTTGATGATTACGACAACCAAATAAATGATAAAATTATGGAAGGTAAATATCTTTAATTGAGGTTATTTTTTAAAAAATTGGTTTTTTCTAATTACTATTGTTCTTTTATTCAGATACTATTAATTACAATAACCAAATAAATAATAAAAATATGGAAGGTTAGTATCGTTAATTAAAATAATATATAAATACTAAATTACTTATTTATTTTTAGAAAATACTAATACAAACCAGAATTTGCAAGATATTCGAAAGTAAATATTTACTTGAATATTTATATTTGAATAATAATTATTTTTCTAATAATGTTATTTATATCAATATATAGTTCAGTAGATAAAGATTTTCTGTTACCAAAAGGGTGAGCTCTCAAAGAGAAACAAGTTTTTGGAGGAAAAGGAACTGGAAAAAGAATTACAAAAAAAGTAAAAAATTTATTAGAAAAGTTTTTTTTAAATAGTAATTTAAATCCTCGAGACAAATTTACAGCACAAGAAATACATGACGAATTAATAAAATATGTAGAGTCTAATGAAATTAAAGAACAAGCATACCAAAAGTTTTTACAATACATGGTTGAATTAGCAAATATGCTGCTGCATTTAAAGAGCAAGTCATAGAAGCAGCACTTCGATTAATGTCCAAAATACTTTCTAAATAATGTTTATAAAAGATAATAAAAATAATAAATTACAAAATATTAAAAATAAAGAAAGAAAAATATTTTTTTTTAGTTTTTTATAATACAGAAATATGTAAAATTTATATTTTATAAGAGTAATTGTAAAATGTAATTCCTAATATAAGTGCCAAATTTACTAATATAAGAGGCAAAATATCGTTTTCCTACATAGTTAAATACAGAAAACCATGACATTAAGATGCCAATTTTTTTTTTATAGAATATTCAAGTTCTATATAGTTGATTGGACATTTAAGCATGACATAAAAATTAGTCATGTGGCAACAAGGGTAGATGAAAAAAAGGGAATTATATCTTTTATTATAAAGATCTGTGTCAAAGGTACTTATAAAATTTTGTAATACTGAGTAATGGATCAGCAATTAAGGTAATTAGTACAGGTCAAAATTTAAATATTGGATATTTATTGGATACTTATTGGGTAAAAAATGAATTTTATGCTTTTGTTGGAATAGAAGTATCAATCGGCATCTCGCTCGAGGCAGATTGAATTAACAATACGGTTCTCTCAAGAAGAAAGATGAAGTCAAATACTCCACCATTCCCCGAACCCGACTCTTTTTTATACCTTTTTGTAATCTAAAAGAAGACGTTTTTTGCGGTATACCCGAGATACTTTATCAACAAAAGCGACATACAAAAATAGCAACAACAGAAACGTATTGG